AAATCACTGGACATAGATTCTCCTGATAGTAAAGCAGCAGGCATCTGGGTTCAAACCCAGATTGGTGGTTGGAGTAAAGATGTCTGACCAGAGCAGAGGGTTATTGTCTAGTGTTTGAAGAATGAATCATCTTAATCATGGGTGAAACAGTTGACTTATGTGTCAAAAAGAAAGATATGAAACTGAGTGGATACATTTTTTTCTGCAAAAATTTTAAAATACTAGTTTTATCTTGAAAGCACTTTTTCACACATGTGCAGCTCTTTTTAGCAGTGACTTGTAGGCATGGCTCAGAAGTACCCAAAAAACAAACTGCCAGGATCCAGAAATTCCTTGTCACTTTTCATTGAGAGCTTTGTATGCAGCTCTCTGGGATCAGTCATTGGATTAATTGTTCCAACAAACCTAAGATGTGGTATCACCAAATTCAGCTTTTGACAGACAGGATAAGATGGATGTTGTGTAAAGAAGAAATGTAATTCACATATATTTGAATACACTTACAAAATGACCTCAATTTATGCCTTGAATGGCATATATGCTGAAACTCTAATCTTACCTCTTCCCCCTCCTCCCACCCGTTGTAAAAAGAAAGACGAAAAACAAGGATGAGTATTAACTATGATTATTCACTATATTTAAAACCTCTACAACTTGGCAAGAGTGTGTACTAAACTGCGGTTCAGTAAAAAGTTAGTGGGACGCCTGGGTGTACTTTACTAAGGAAATAAACGTCCTGAGTGCAGCAGTGAGCTATCTGAAAGATTTTGGTGAGGTTTATTATCCTGCCTTGTGTTTTGAAATGAACCACAAAGTTCAATGTGAAATCAATCCTGAAACATGGCATAATTTATCTCGTGCACATTGCTAATCTCTGCTTGTCCACAGGCTCAGTTCCTGACTTTTCTAACATGTCTGCAGTGCCTGAAACTCTAGATGATGATGCGATGGACCCACAGCATTTTATTTATTAGAGAAAACTTGGCTGAATCGACCAGATTCCTGCAGTTGGACTATAATACACAGCTGGATAATTGGATAACTTTCAAATATGCACTGGGTTGTTTTCATACAGAGTTCTGATGTCAGATAGATGGTGTGTGTGTCTGTGTGTGTGTGCATGCATGTGTGTGTGTGTGTTGAGCAGCCACTGCAGAAAATCAGAATAAATGAGATGTATTAATTAGTATAAGATGACACAAAATCCAAAAAGGCAATGTCCCATCTACTTCAAAATACTTGATCAAAATGGGTCAGAAGAACTGGATAATTATCTATTAATGGGATAACCATCCTGTTTTGAAAAGATGAAAATAAATCTTGGAGAGAGCAACATTACCATCTCTAATTTCCTATTTCTGTCCCCTCTGCCCCAAATCTGACTATCTTCATGAACAATAAGGTAAAGCTCTAAGGCTACACTTAATTATATTTATTGCAGGTTGAATGTTATTCCTATTTTATATACTACAGCTCGAAACTGTCTAGACTTTACAATATTATTACCCTGCTCTCCCCCGTTTTTACATAAAGACATTTAGACTTTATTTTTTTAAACATGAGTGCTTAAAATAAGTTCACATTTGCTGTTTGAGATGCACAGAGTCTCAAACCCTAGCACGTACATTTAGTACTAAGCTACAAATGTCAGAAGCCACAGATTTAGGAAAACATAATAAGCAGCTCTCCAGGTCTTTTTGAAGGTAAATACAAACCATGTACCTATAAAAGTGCACTCTCCCTTCAAGGGTAGGACCAGCACTTTGCTTTGGGAAGTGGCAAAACCATCTGGAAATTTCATGGCCTCTCAGTGTCTGCAAGGTCACTTAAGGGCCTGTGTGGGGACAGTTACTTTGGTAGGCCCTGGCCACGTTGGGAACACACTTTCTAGAAAGAGAGTGTGTGGTGGTACCCCCTGGGGTCATCCAGGCTATTTAGGAAGAAGTGTAAGCTTCAGGGTCCATGCGCCCCCCCCCCCCCCCCCCGCCACCATTCAGGGCCACTGAGGTATCCCCTTGTGCATGAAATCACAGCCTGGGAGTTTACAGAAATCAACACATCCCAGAAAACTGCTGAGAGGGTTTCTCTGGTGATACCGGCAGGTTTGGGACGCTGTAAGAGGGTTCTTCCCTCTAACTCATCCCAACCTCTCCCAAGTAAATAAACCCCAGGACAGGGAAAACAGCTGCATCAGCAGTTGCGTATGGCTGGACAGATGGCCCAGTCAGAAGCATGTTCTCAGTCAGCAGTTTAAGACACAATGTGCATGGCTGAGACCTGGCAGAAAGGAGCCCAGGGCTCATTTCAGAAAGGAACCCTGCCCAGTTCCTATGTAAGCAATCATGGTGCATGAAACATGGAAACAACCTTGTCCCAGAATTTCCTCTCTGAGACATTTAGCCTGGAACTATGGTTTCTTAAGATTTCACAGCAAATGTGTTAAAAAAATCAGGCTTTGGATCAAATGTCTTTGTGTAAGACTAAAAATAATCAAGACCAGTATGACAGAATATTTAACATAAAAGCATCTGATGCTTTGTAAGCACCAATCCACTTTATGGTAATACCTTATCCATGTCTAGTGTGTATTTATAAAAAGCACCAATATAGGAGTAAAACACTTTTAGACGTAAACACTCAAGACAAAGCTAAGTTCCTAGTATTTTCCCACCACCTGGGAAGAGATTTTTAAAAATAAATTTGGTACTGTGAATTACCAGCTATTTTTCTTCTGATTCCTATAAAACAATTATATTGAGGTTCAGGTGGAAACTTGGCTTGTTTGCTCATCTCAGTCTACTTTTAGATCCTGGTAATAATTTTTGTTTGTTTGGCTGCACCTCACAGCATGCAGGATCTTAATTCCCCAACCAGGGATGGAACCCCCAGCCCCAGCAGGAGAAGCATGGAGTCTTAACCACTGGACTGCCAGGGAAGTCTCCTAATAATGATTTCTTGAGAGTCATGCAGAATATGGCTTATTTATGTATTACTTCCTTTCTTTCTTAAGGAACCACCTTGGGGAAGTCTTAATTTTCACAACTGAAATCTACTAAAATCAGACAGGAGGGTGACTTGAGCCCTGCTGGACATCACTGTCAGCTCTGGAATGCTCTTCCTGTTATGTCCAGCTGAAAGAATTCCTAACACACCGTTGCACGTACTCTACAGAACGACAGGTCTAGAGTCCCTTCAAGATTCAGAGGGGACCCATGATTTGTCACCTCATACCTGCAATCGGCCAGACACTGACCAGATTCCCAGAGGCATCGACCGAGAAACAGTAAACATTCCACGACACCCTTTTTTCAACTTCCCTGTGTTTTCCTCACTCCAGGGGGAGAAAGCAAAGTGGAAACTGCTCAAGGAAAGATACAGAACAGAGAAATTTATTTTACACTATCCGTCCAAGAAAACAATCTCCGTAAAACCAGTGCAAAATGTGTAACAGAATCCGTAAGTGTGTCTCAGCTCCGAAAGCCCGAAGTGGTGATTCCCTCTCCCGCTCCTCCGGCCAGCAGGTGCCCCTTGGCCAAGGCCGGCCTCGGTGGGCACCGTGGACAGAAACATTCAACCCATTTGTAGCAGGTTATTTTTACAATTCATACCAGAGTGTGTACAGGGGAAGGGGAAAACCATACCGAATGAATAGGTGATCAGTGCTTAAAGTAAATACACGGGGCAGCACGGGGCGAGAATCCACAGTTTCAATAAATACAAGTGAACAAGCATGGGTGGGTCTCAACTCCGTGGAGTTGTCTGCGGAGTAATTCAGCGTCGGACAGAACCTAGCAGAGCTGCCGAGCAGCGATTGATAACAACATCCACAGTAACACGCCCTTGAGCGAGTCTGCATCCAACACATTCTGCGTTTCCAAGGTGTCAGCTCTGTTCCCCCTTCCTGTGCCCCCTCCCCACCCCCGGGAAGGGAGCGGGGTGCTGGGGCAGCTGGGCGCGGCGACTGTGAGGAAGGACGCTGGCCTTTGAGCCAGCGGTCAGGGTCCAGTGTACTCAGTACGAGGGGCGGTGTCTGTGCAAAGTGCGCTTCTCCACTTCCCGAGAAACCAGTGTAACTCCTACCTCCGGGTCACACTCCCTGCGCCCCCAAACACCAAACCAAGAGCAGTCTCAGAGTCTCGGGCGGGAGGCACCTGCCGCGCCGGCTGCCTGGTGCTCAGGATGGAGAGATTAACCGGGGCGGGCAGGCTTCAACTATTGCTTGAGAGGCTAGAAAGAACTGGGGAGACAGTGATGGTCAGAATGGACAGACGGGCAGCTGTCTTCTTCCTGGAAAACTCAGGGCCTCAGGGCAGGCCCCCCGGTGCGACGAGAAGGAGTTTGTCCAGGGGCCTCTCCAGCCGCTCCTCTGACAGGCGATAAATCCACACAAGCTCCAACGCGACTGGGACTCGACCCCAGAGGACGCAGCTGGGACACCCGGTGGATCAGCGAGGATCCAGAGCCCGGTGAGAGAAGATGCGAGGAAAAGTCTCCATCTCTGGAAGGAAAGGAAGAAAAGGGGGGAGCCCCCAAAACCAAACGACCCCCAGACTCAGGAACCTAGAAATCAGCCCCAAACATAAGGAAAATCCCAAACGCTCCCTGTCATGCGTGGACCCTCTCCTCTCTCTTCGCCACAGTCTCGGCTCATACATGAGGCCAGCCTTCCATCCAATAACTTAAAAAAGGAGGAGGGGTATATACTAAGTTTGCCTGGCTCGGGCCAGTTAGCAGCCAGTTTTTCTAGAATCTCAGTCACTGTTCAAAAAATGGGGCTTGAAAATTCACGCGGAGGTCGTGAGCCTTCACGTGGAGGAGGGCAGAGCCGGAGTGGGGGTGGGGGTCCGGGGCTGGCGGGTCAGGAGGCGGTGGAGGCGGGGAGGGGTAGGGCCAGGGCCCGGGAGGGGTCGGGGGAGCGGAGGCCTGCGGGCGGCGGAGGCGGACTCGGGCGCCCGCTTGTATTGCACAGAAGGAGGGGCCGAGCTGGGCGCGGCCGCGGGTCAGTGGTCCCCGCACATGGGCAGGTTCACAAAGGTGAACACGTTGAACTCCGTCATGATGGAGAAGCACAGGAACACGCCATAGAGGAAAAGGCAGCCGCACCCCAGCTTCCTGTCCAGCTGCCACTTGTTCAGGTGGACGCCAAACACCTGCGAGCAGAGAGCAGGGTCAGAGGGCCCCTCCTCCACCGCGGCCCAGACACCGCACGCGCACTGGGTTTTCCTCTGCCGGCTCCCTCTGTGTTCCTCTTGCGGCTCTGTCCCCAGCATCCTGACCTCCGACTGTCCGGGGCACCGGGACTCACACTTCAGCCTCTCTCTTCCACCTACGCTCACTCCCTGGGCAGTGGGCGGGGGCTCATCCAACTCCTTGGCTCTAAACCCCGTCTACGTCCTGGTGTCTCCAGCGTGGGCTTCCTCCTGAACCAGCTGTTCTGACCTCGCCCCTGGGATGTCAGTTCGGCACTGAAAACTTCAGATGTGGGAACTTGCTTCTCCTCCCAGACCTACTTCGTTTCAGTCCTTCAACAGCCCTCCAGGGCAGAGGGGCAGTGGTGAGACCCTGTCCCAGGAATGCCCAGCCACAGCATCCCGGGTCGCAGTGGACCTGCAAGCCAGCAGGCACTCGGAGGTCAGACATAAGGTCCCTACGGGCCTCACTTGTCGGTCTGTATAATGGGGCTGATACCAGTGACTACCTATTCGAGTGTGGTGAGCTCCAGATGGGGAAATTCCCACGGTAAGCACTTGTGTGACGGTTACAAGTATAATAACCCTAAATCATACCAACTTGAAGAACCTCCTGAAAAGAAGGAATAGATGGGTTTTCACTATTGTGTAAGGCAGTATTTGATCTGGTAAAACCTTGATGTTGGACTTGCATGCTGGTCCTGGAAATGACCTCTCCTGCCCTCATGAATTCCCATTTTCTACATACGTATGTTCTTATGACAGGTGTGATTCAACAAATAGTTCCTTGAACAATTCAGGAAAAAACACATTGCATTTCTTACTGTGAAAATTCAGTAGCATAGGTGTACGTTATCAGACACTTAGGGCATGTGGGTCAGTCCACATGGTGGTGTGAACTTGCTCCCACCAAAGATGTCAACTGAATTGGAATAGTTTATGCAAGTGGATGGATGGCCAAGGCAGTGCAGTGGCATCAAAGTGCACTCACTGTCCAGTAAGTCTGTCCTCAGTCTTTGAGTGTTGGTCACATCTATGGACTTATGGAGATGTTTAGGAATCTGGAATAGTCAATTAATTGAAATATAACCTTCGGTAGCCTCATCTTGCAGAAAAAGTGGGATTCCCCCTATTGCTTTTGATAAATGTTTGTGTTTGACATGAGACAGGCTGCGCTTCTGAGAGCAGGCTGGCTCCTTTCAGAAAGGGAGGCTTTCTCGTGGGTTGTGGAGGACACAGCCATGAGATGGGACAACCTCGAGACTGACTGTCCCTATCCACCGGGAGGCCAAGCCCATCTGGTGTCCAAACAGACTCTGTAGCCAGAGAACCCAAGGGGATGGGGGGAGAGGTGGGGACTGGAGAGCGGAGAGAGCTGCAGACCCACCGTGACGAAGACAGAGGCCAGGAGCAAGCCCACGGAGTAGATCAACCCCCGGCTGTTCAGTCGAATCTGTAAGAGAGGATGACAGTCTGTAAGAGAGGAAGAGTTAGGCTCCCGAAACACATCTGCCAAGTGCGGGGCGGTGAGTTCTAGTGAGGCCGAGGCCCTCCTCCAGGATGGAGGGCAAATGGCAGCTGCTCAGTGGGGATGGAGCTTTCCTTGACCCCCAGGGGGCACCCTGGCCTGGTCCACCCTCAGCCCCATCCCTGCCCCCTCCAGCAGCTGACTGCCCCGTGGCCACTTGAATTCTCCATCCTATGCGGCCTGATTCTTATTTCCTGGGGGACCTGACTTCCAGGGAGCTTCCGATTTCCCAACACACAACTTTTAAGGTGAATTTAATAATGTGGGTCATGGGACCAATATTTTGAAAAATATGACTTAAGCTTTTCTTTTTTTTTTAAAGAATCTTTTAGGGCCCCTTGGGGGCGGGGCCCCAGGCACCTACCGACATCCCCCTGCACACTTTCCTACCTGCCTCTGACTAAGCTTTTTAATCTCTTTTGCATTCAAATGTCTGTGACCTTCACCTGAACTTGATGGGAAGTGGTGAGTGAGGGTTGCTATTTTGAACAGGCAAAGAAGAGTTAACATTTCAATTTCTGATATTTTTGTTTGTTTTCCACAGTAACACAGTGGGGTTAACAGGCAAACTCTGAAGATTAAAAAAAATACAAACAACAATTTCTGGAATTCTTAGGAGCCCTGTCAGTGCAACTTCCCATGAGGCACGCATAGTCTTAGTTCCCTGATCAGAACCTGTGCCTTCAGCAATAGAAGCGCAGAGTCTTAACTACTGGGTCACCAGGGAAGTTCAAGGGCGTAAGTCTTACCCCCGTGAAAAACCAGTTTCTTGGGGTCTTGCTAAGCCAGACAATCTCACCAACCATTCTCACTTCTGGACAAGACTTGGAGCCTCAACAGTGCAGTGTGGACCTAAACCAGCATTCCCTGCTCCTGCCTCACAGATGCGAGGCCCATGAAGTGCAAAGGCAGGCGGTCCCCATGGCGATGCCCTTCTGAGAGCAGGCAACGCACTTGGATTGTTCAGCCTTGACATTTAACATTGTTTTTATTTCTTGCCTTCAAAACTATGAATTTTCACTCTCCAACTCCCTCTTGGCAGTTGCTGGAGAGGAAACAGGAGGCTGGCTGGTTCCTGAGTCAACAGGAATTTAGGTTCCATGGATATGTCTTTTAGTGCAAACGCACACAGAGACTGCGTCACCCCCAATTTCCCGTGTGTATGTGGCTCATAAAACAGCCCCCTGAATCCTACACCGTTTGTTTAAGGACCTGAACCTCCAGCCTCAAAGATTGACTTCCCCCACATTGCAGTGTAAAATCTCTATGTTTTGAGGTCAGCTCCACCTGACCAGCAAATTCTTTTAGGAAAAACAAGAAGCCCCTGGATTTTCGCTAATTGGTTTATAACTCAGAACACATGTGGTTGTCACTTTGCATTTTCTGACTTGGGTGGTTTGAACATTGCTGAGGCTTCGGTTCCAAATGGATACATCCAGCTGGGACTTTACACTATGTAACGTCACAGGGTGGGAGGCTTTCCTTGAACAGTGACATGAGGTCGGAAAGTGAACGAGAACTGGAATAGCAGCTTTCTCCCCAGAGTGTGTGCACACACACGGGCTGCACTGAGTTCTCGCAGCAGCTCCTCGAAGTGTCCTGAGCTGCCTGAAGGCAAGACAGCTGAGGCTCCAGGAAGTGGAGCCCTTGGCCCCGGTGAGACTCAGCTCACACTGTGTGTGTGTGTGTAAGACTCAGCTCACACTGTGTGTGTGTGTGTAAGACTCAGCTCACACTGTGTGTGTGTGTGTAAGACTCAGCTCACACTGTGTGTGTGTAAGACTCAGCTCACACTGTGTATAAGACTCAGCTCATACTCTGTGTGTATGTGTGTGTGTAAGACTCAGCTCACACTGTGTGTGTATGTGTAATACTCAGTTCACATTGTGTGTGTGTGCATGTAAGACTCCGCCACACTGTGTGTGTGTGTGTGTTGGGGGTTTCCCCACTGTGTGTGTGTGTAAGACTCAGTTCACACTGTGTGTGTGTAAGACTCAGCTCACACTGTGGGTGTGTGTGTGTGTGTGTGTGGTGCAGGTTTCCCCACTCATCCGAGCAATTCTGCGACACCAGCTAGTTGTCCTTCATCTGACACTACCTACCTGGAGGTGCCATCAGATCCCACATGGGGCTCAGCCCTGCAAGGTTGTGTCCCTCAACCCTACTGGAGATGCAGGTACAAGTCCAGGTTGTCCCCTGTGCTTCTGATAAGCAGGTTATAGATCTGAGGTTCACACAGAGGTTCCAAGAGGGAACCCCCTCCTCGGGTTCAGCTGGTTTGCCGGAGGGCTCACAGAGCTCAGAGAAACCCATTCCTTACTGTCACTGGTTGTTAAAACATGATGTGACTCAGATGGATGAGACGCACAGGGCGAGGTGAGGGGAAAGGTTCAGGGTTCCAGGCCTCTCGGGACCCATTCTCCCCGCATCTCCACGTGTTCCCAGAAGCTCTCTGAACCCCATCGTTTTGGGGCTTTTATGGAGGCCTTGTTACAAAGGCACAACTCATTAAATCTACTGCTGCTGCTGACTGAGGGACCTCCAGCCCCTCTCTCTGCCCCAGAGTTCACAGTATTGGGATGCAAAGTTCCAGCCCTCAAATCACAGGGTTGGTTCTCTTGCCAACCAGCTCCATCCTTAGGTGCTGTCCCAAGTCACCTCATTCACATAAAAAGATAATTCTGAGGCTTTTAGGAGCTCTGTGCTAGAAAAAAAGACCAAACATATATTTCTTACTACAAATTGCAGTATTACACAAGGCCATGGAGCTGGTAGGGGTCACGTCTGCACTAAGAATCAGGCTTCAGCCTGAAAATTCTAGACTCTTTGGTGCACCTTGCAGGGCACAGGGGAAAAGCCAGGGCTTTCTCCACCTGCTAAGAACTTTCTAGGGTGGCATCTGGGCCCTTCTTACCATCTTGGTGGGGCCACCTGACTCCCTGGAGCCCACGCTGGCATCTGTGGTCTGTGTCTGAGGCACCTCCTCGAGCCCTGGAAGTGCCACCACCCACCTCTCTGGTCACACCTGTCCACCCCCTACTGGGTTCCCCCCCACACCCGGAATAAAGTCCTCACCCCACCCTCATCTTCAGAATGGAGTGGTTTCAGGAGGGATCTAAAACTTTGATTGTGAGATGGAATCTGCTTCAGGCCTTGGTGACCCAGGAAAGACCCTACCTCCCCCCAAATATCACCTCATTTTTCCTAAAATCTCAAGAGCAAGATTTATCTTAAGGGGATTGGGTGGTATCATTACAGCCCCCAGGGCCTTGTTAGAACAGCCTTGAGAAGAACCATTCATTGCGAAGCCCCCAGACGCTCCCCAGTTACCTCACTAGGTCCGTGGGAACAGTCTGTGGCCAGGCCCTGGCAATGGTTTCTGCATTTTCCTGGTTTCCATGGTGTCAGTATTCCTGCCAAGGTCAAGTGCAAGCTGCTCACGTGGCCTCACTGAGAGTGGAGTGGGGAAGGGCTCCGTGCAGCTGTCCCAGGGTTGGGGCAGGGTTTGCAGAAAAAGAAAAACTGGTCTGGCAACTGGAACAGAAACTGTATACCAGGAGATCGACTTAGGAATGTTTATCCTCGAGAACATTCTTCCTCGAGTAGGAAGATGTGGTAGCATTGAAAACTGACTGGTAGGTTCTGGGTGAACTGGCTGAGTCGGACACAGCTTTGCTCTCAGAGGGTGAGGGAAGATGACATCCCCCTCCCCAACTATGTGACTGAAGAGGCAGTGGACATGGCTGGGTGGCTTCTCCGAGGAGGGGACAGCTAGCGGACAGATGGCATTAGAAGGAGTAACTTGGGAAGAGCCTTCCTCCATGTGGTCAGTCTTTCTGGAAACAGGATGCTCATCCTTGCCCTTTCTGGCCACCCCCCAGCCTCCTTCCCTGGACCGTTTCTCACTACCAGACATTAGGGTATGGTCCTGGTTCTCTTCTCTGTTTACACTTATTCCCTGTATGAGCTTTAGGCTTAAAAACCCATACTAACACTCTTGACTGTCAGAGGTCTTGCCTCTGAATTTATCTCATTGTCTGCCTGATGTCTCCACCAGGACGACCCTCAGGCACATCACACCTCATCTGGTTCTAAGCACAACCCTGGACACTGTCTCTTAAATATGTACTCCCACCCTGGCTCCCCTGGGGGCTCTTTCCCCCCAAGTCACATATTCTGCTTTACCTACAAATGCTTCATAACTGGTCTGGCTGCCCTCTGTCTTGTCTGGCTCCATGATGGTGTGATCACTCACCTAGAGCCAGACATCCTGGAATGCAAAGTCAACTGGGCCTTAGGAAGCATCACTACAAACAAAGCTAGTGGAGGTGATGGAATTCCAGTTGAGCTATTTCAGATCCTAAAAGATGATGCTGTGAAAGCGCTGCACTCAGTATGCCAGCAAATTTGGAAAACTCAGTGGCCACAGGACTGGAAGAGGTCAGTTTTCATTCTAATCCCAAAGAAAAGCAATGCCAAAGAATGCTCAAACTACTGCACAATTGCACTCATCTCACATGCTAGCCAAATAATGCTCAAAATTCTCCAAGTCAGGCTTCAATAGTACATGAACTGTGAACTTCTAGATGTTCAAGCTGGATTTAGAAAAGGCAGAGGAACCAGAGATCAAATTGCCAACATCCACTGGATCATCAAAAAAGCGAGAGAGTTCCAGAAAAACATCTATTTCTGCTTTATTGACTATGCCAAAGCCTTTGACTGTGTGGATCACAACAAACTGTGGAAAATTCTGAAAGAGATGGGAATACCAGACCACCTTACCTGCCTCCTGAGAAATCTGTATTCAGGTCAAGAAGCAACAGTTAGAACTGGACATAGAACAACAGACTTCTTTCTGGGAAAGGAGTACGTCAAGGCTGTATAACGTCACCCTGTTTATTTAACTTATATGCAGAGTACATCAT